GTTCTTTATTGAGGCAATAATGGATGTAGCCATGTGCTGTACATAACCGAAACCTGCACAACGAATGACATTTCTAGGACAAAACGCAGAAAGAGTGCTTGGAGAATATAACACTCAAAGGACTTATTGACAAGTGTCACAGAGGGAAATATCGAATAACCTGCCTAAAGAATTTGTTTCAATGACTACCACAATTGCAGCTAACAGTTATATACTAATTTTACTATTACTAATTTTAGTCTGGATTGTTTTTCATTTAGAAAGCTACTGGTCAGAAGACCTCGGAGGGGTGGAATTCTGACTGTGGTGGGTTGTCTTTGTCTAAGTTTTGGAAATAAAATAAAATAAAAAATGAATAAAATAAAAATAAAATAAAAAAAAAACTAAATAAATAAAAAATTAAAAAAACTCCTGCCTCTTAGGGCCTCTGTTGTCTTACTTGAAGTGAAATGATTGAATAAAAAATAAAAGAAGCAAACCCATTCTACAATTGTAGCTGAGAGTTATATACTAACATTATTAAGAATTTTAGTTTTATTTACATTATTCGGACTATTGTCCACATATTTATTACAACGTTTCGGTCATTTTACGCTCCAGCCTTCTTCAGGTGGTTGGAATGTCGAACTGAACTTTTTATTTCGCTCACTGGGGTAGACTGTTCTAGTTCCACGTGCCATGTTTAATGGATGTCAGTTATCAATTATCTCCTAAATTTTCCTCTGAAAGTTCTCCTGCCTTAACCGGGTATTGAACTCACACTCTTTAGGTTTGTCACTGGATCTGACTAACGCCTTTATCCACTGTGCCATGTGTCTGAGTAAACATATGGCATCAATTTACAGTGATATAAATTTTCAACTATTTTAACCAATTGATTTAACATAGTGGATTTCATATAAAATTAATCAGGAGATTCATTTGATTGTTGACATCAATAGTTAATATATGTAAAAATTGAAAACTAGAACCTTTTGAAGGGTAGTGTTCGAAATAAGGGTAACTCGACATTCCATTAATAAAGAAGGCCGGATTTTACAGCGACCGAAACGTTGTCATAAATATGCCGACAAAGATGAGGACATGTTCGAATACTAAAATGATAATGTACATAATACTTCATCTCAGAAATATAGACAGATTTTGAATTTGAGTTTGTATTGTTTTTCATTTAGAAACATAATAATGCTCTGTCTGATTCGGAAGCTGCCAGTCAGTGTTGACCATGTTTGCCGGAGTCCCTGAATATGGAATCCAGATGAAGCCCGTAATGTGTTCAATATCAGAGTTTGGCAGTGAAGATTCAGAGAAAGTAGCGGCTTGTTAAATAATTCTTTAAGTCTTCGATATCAGGTTGGCAATGGAAATATTTTTGGGAAAAAAAAAAACAAAATGGCTGCCTCTATACACGTCGCATTGAATATTTTGAGCTTTCTGATTGGTTAACCCTTCTATTGGTGAACGATAAAATGAGTCAGCTCATTTTGACTGGCTCACTAGAAAAACATACTCAAAAACCTGAAACAGTCAGAAGGCTTCATTGGTGTGGAATTCAGATTGTGGTGGGTTGCCTTTGTCTATGTTTTAGTAATAAGGCCAAAACGTCACGAAGAAAGTGTAAGGCCCCAAAAATTTTGAATAGTTAACCCGCCTCCCACATCCAGATGCATTAGAGAAGCGAGATAGCAAATGGCAGAATGAATACGTTCCTCAGTCTTCCTTTCGATAATTACTAGAATCGATGTGACCACGTCTGTCCCGTTCGTAGAATAAAGCGACAATGAACAACAAATTTATGATATACCGTTGAGGTCTGTACGACTGAAGCCAATGGCGACATGGAATGTAAAATTTCACAGTATGCATTTGCGGAAACAATTATACTGACACTTTATAATAACAAACAAAAAAACACATAAAAGAAAAAAGATCACCTCTCGACGTCAATATGGCCCTTCAAAATGATCTCCTTGGAAACTTACAACCTAGATCTGCGTTTGAGCTGCCCAGTCCCCACTTGCTTGTTTTCATAGAGTTTAAAACCGTCTGCGTGGCTCATGTTCTTCGACCACGATGTTTCGATATTAAGCCGAACATGACAATGCAGCTTAATGATGACGCTAAAAGACGACTTTTCAAACAGTTTTTGAAATTTGAAGGATATATATATATATATATATATATATATATATATATATATATATATATATATATACTTTATTAATCCTTCGACGATTTTCGATTCTCACCCGTCGAAGTGCAGTTGAAATGCATTGAAACCAAGTTGCATCTTTGTAGTGAGTAAAATGATTTTGTCTATATGATAAAATTATAAATAAATAATTATCGCTCTACTATCTGTGAACGTTGGAATTTATATATTACTTTCCTTCACATCGTATATATATATATATATATATATATATATATATATATATATATATATATATATATGTTTTAATGAAGCACACTCAACAGGTGCGCCGGATCGCCTCATCAGTGATGTTAGGACTTGGGGGTCATGACAAGTTTCGTGTCTTTCAACATCATATTTGTTTACCCAAGAGACCCTACTGGAACAATACCTATTCCGGCAGGCGATTCTGAAAACAAATATCCACTAAGCACACAACAACGAACATATAAAGAACTGACCTTGAAATAGCAAGCGACCAATCAGAAACGCTCTACGTCTCTTCCTCCTCAGTCAAGACGAGACAAAAAGCGAACAAAATGAATGCTCGTCTTTTCTCTCTTTTTCTCTTAGACTACTGTTCACCCAATAAAAGGCTCAAGAGACACTCAAGGGAGAGTGTTGTTGTGTGTGTGTTTTTTATGCTTGCTGGAACACAAATTGGTACGTAAAAGTAGTATGTAGCTGTCAGACATTGATGTTTAGCCAAGAAAAGAAAAAAGAAAAAACAAAACCACAAATAAACTGCCATATGTATTCGCATAGGCATCGTAGATGCGGGTTAGGGTTAGGGTTAAACTTTCCATTGATTTCAATTATGGTCTCCGGACGACTTCGGAATCTCCTGCAACTCTTCTGGACGAGTTCCTTGTTTAAGTTGATGAATACTGTGATAATCATTGCCATCAGCTCACTTTTGTTGTTACAAGAAATTTTGTTGGTATCTCGCTCATATATATTGTGGCGTGGGTGCGAGTTTGTGTATATGTGTGTCATCAGAAATGTAATTATTTTTTAACAAATAAGCAAACAATTATGTATATATATATATATATATATATATATATATATATATATATATATATATATATATATATAGTTTTTATGATTGGTATATACGGAATAAATTCCAATAACCAACAATTACTATATATTTTATTTTTTTTTACTTAAAAGAGTGCTCAATACAGAGTAGAGCAAATATAATTATTCATTTCAAAATTATAACATAAAAATATTATTTAAAATTAAAACAAAAATAGCCATTTTGTTTCAACACCTCTGTTTTCTTATCAAGTGATTATGTTGAATTTAGATTTCATCACTTGATAAGACACCAGATGTGTTGAAACAAAATGGTTATTTTTATAGTGATTGTATATATTTACGTTATAATTTTTAAATAAATAATTGAATATATATATATATATATATATATATATATATATAACCCGAACCCTAGTGTTAGGTTATAGTAGATGCGACGTTCACAGTACTTATTCATTGATTAACTTATTTGTCTTGTTTTTACTGCTTGTTAATACTTTTCAGTTTATTTTAAAGCCAGAAAATAGTTTTGATTTTAAGAATTGTTTTTCGTAATTATAATGATTTACTGATACTAGTCTTACTAATTAACCCATACCTGAAGGAAGAAAAGTTGAAATCATACCTTTTTGATGTGAATATAAAGAACCTACCTGGAGTTGGAACTCGACTCTCCGATAAAAACTTCCCAGCTGTTATCCATTACACCACCTGCACATCCAAGCTTAATGTTGTAACCTAGAAGAGGTTACTGAATGCGGAATAACAAAAAAGAGGTTGGAAATTAAATAGTAATCTTTATAACATCGACAAAATAAAATACTCGCCAACGACATGAAGTAGGTAAACCACTGCTAGTGCTGGACTACTTAGACACCATATTACCCCCACTTACAATAGTGTCCAACGTATTTAGTAAGATTGGGACATACACATTAGTGTTCGTAAATACGATATATAACACTTCCTTCCTTCCTTCCTTCCTTCCTTCCTTCCTTTTTTAACTTAGAAATGGAGTCAACAACATCATTTGATAAGACACCAGAAGTGTTGAAATAAAATGGCTATTTTTGAAGTGATTTTTATAAAATATTTATGTTAGAATTTTCGAATGAATTATATTTGTCCTACTCGGTATTGAGCACTCTTTTAAGAATAGTATTTTTTTGTTATTGAAATCTATCCGTATACACCAATCATATACTAATATATATATATATATATATATATATATATATATGGGATTATGTATCAAATAAATTCAATAACCAAAAAATACAATTAAAAATCAGTTTTGAATATAGAGTAGACTAAATATATTTATTCAATGGGAATTATAACATAAATATTTTTTAAAAATTGTTTCTAGAAAAACACTTCTTTTGTCTTATCAAGTCTTGACAAAACACCAGAAATGTTGAAACAAAATGGCTATTTTTCTAGTGATTTCATAACATATTTATGTTATAATTTTCGAATAAATAATTATATATATATATATATATATATATATATATATAAATGCAGGGTGGTATTTCTGGGGTTGGTTCATCACACCAAAACAAGCACAATATAGTAGTTCGTATTACTATTTAATGTCTGGAAAATAAATCCCACCATTCTGAGTACCTGTGTGTGTATGTGTTACCATGATGAATTTTTACTTTAAAATTTTTAAGGATATTAAATATACATTTTTATATCATATACTTACGGTTGGATTAAATGGTATATATATCCAGAGATGACACAGAAAAACTGAGATAGATAGATAGATAGATAGATAGATAGATATTGAAGAAACAAAGATAGGTAGTCTTATCGTCCAGGCTAGGACCAAGGAAGAACGACACGAACACAAGAGTAGAAATAACGAAGGTATATTACACGAAATAATAATACAAGATGTGGAAGGTGTTATTATGACTGTCAGTCTGGTTTGGAGTGAACTACTATCGGCTCGACTCGATTCGACCCTCTCTCTTGAGAGGCGTAGTATACATAGTGTTAGGAAGAGTTCATTCTGTAGTTACAGTGATAGATAGATAGATAGATAGATAGATAGATAGATAGATAGATAGATAGATTGGTAATAATCCGTAGTTGACAGGTCTGGTATACTAATTTTTAACACGTGTATTGTCTACTAATAATTTACCTAATATAATTTCGTAAGAGTATAATCATAAATATAAATCAATTTTGTTAAAGTTCGGAAAATTTTTATGATTTCCAAAGCCGTCGGCAAAAAAAAAAAAAAAAGGTCTGTCTCCTAATCATTCTTTCCCTGTTGAACAAACACGCACACACACAAGCAAGAAAAACATATATGCACAGGAAAATTTAATTTGACGTTAATTGAAAAGAAAAAAAAAACATTCCGCTAGGATTTAATTAATTTTTTTTCATATGATCAATTATTCAAATAGGAAAAAAAAAAACATCTGATTTTTTAATTCTATAAAAAAAAATTTCATTCAAAATCAATGCAAAAAGAAAGCGAATGTTTGGTTTTGAAATTTAAGGAATTCGTCGCCGAACTAAAATCATTCTCAGAAATATTTTCAATGCGCATATACTGTAATTCTCCACGTATAATACGCCTTCATCCATAATACCTGTTATTTAGAAATAAAGCGATGCTGCCGACACTTGAGTTTGAACACAGATCGCCAGTGAGTAAATACAGGCGATCCCATTATTAAATTAAGTAGACCGCGTGACCGTAGAGGAAACGCGTATATAGGAAGTCGCGTGACGTCGAAATGACCGACATTCCTAGTCTATCCTCTATTACTATTCGGATCTCTATTTCTAATCTATCCTCTATTACTATACGGACCACTATTCCCTACACTATTAAGTATATTATACGAATTACTATTCACTGTTTACTTTACGAGCGAGTATTATCGACCAAGTCCTATTAGCGCGAGTTATATTCGAAGGCGTCTGACACCAGTATTGTTCAACGGCGTTACTATAGTTGTATCTGCGATTACAAAGTCTCTACTACAACGAGCATTACAAAAGTGACAACGAGTATTCGTTAGCATTGCAAAAGAGTCAAACGTGTGTTCGTTGACATCACAAAAATACGCACACCTAAAATTGTGCAGAAAGTGGGGGGAAATGTTTCTACTCATGCATAATACGCACTCCTTGTTTGGTAATCCAACCCTATAAATTTTGCGTCTCTTATTTAAAAAAAAATGATTTAAACTGTTGGAATTTTTGGGTACCCTGATACTAGTGAGCCAGCCAAAATGAGCTGACTCATTTTATAGTTCACCAATAGAAGGGTTAACCAATCAGAAGGCTCAAAATATTTAATGCGACGTGTATAAAGGCGGCCATGTTTTTTTACCGAATATTCACTGCCAGTCTTTGATATTGAAGACTGAAGAATTACGGAACAGCTGCTGGTGGTATTGGCGATATAGTCAGATTCAGTAGAGTGTCTGACAACTGAGTGTTAATCTTTAACGTTGTTTCATTGAAGAGATTACCTAATGCGATGGATTCTATATTCATAGACTATGGCGAACATGGTCAACATAATCATGGAATAATATTATTCTAAATTAGTTTTATGATAATTCTTATTTTATTTTACAGCAATTCTTTAAAGATTTTTTTGTAGCTGTGCATAATACGCACCCTTTATTTTGGTCATTATTTTTTTAAAAAAGAAATTATTATAATATGGGGAATTACATAATAATTTCGTTTAAATCTTGTGTTTTCTGGAGAATCTAACCCTTCAATTAAAATACGTCATAACAGTTTTTAAAAGGTGAAAATTTGCCATTACTGTGCTCTGTGAGTGTTAAGTTCTCTAAGATTTCTTTCCTCAATATGTGTTCCAGAAATCTCTGCTATTACTTTCTGATAGTCAATAACGGTTTCATTGTAGTTCCACATATAGTCTGTCTATTCTCGATCACGGCTCTCCCTATCTTCCTGTTTAAATCATGATTTTTAATTTATAAAAATTTATTAACCCCCTCATTGTCTGATTCTTTTTGGCCTTAGATCTCCCATTCATTTGCTCAAAACTGTCGATTCGGTTATTCGATATTTCTTCTCTTGCCTCCAGTATACACTGTGAGTCTCAGTCAGTTATGTGCCATGCGTGATACACGCTTAGGCGATCATGTATCTTTCAATACATGACTAACGAAGCAGATTTTTTCCCGCACTATGTTGAAACATCAAATTGCAGTAGATATCCCATTACCATCCAAAGCCATGTTAGCCTACGTCCTGAAAGGACACGGCACATAAGAAAAGAAAGATTATAAATTCCATTTGTTTTTCTTAATAAAATTCACCTAATACAAGGCTAGAAAGTTACGCAGGTTACAGAGTGACTGAATGTGGCGTTTGATCTGAATGTAAGCGAATAAAAGGGGTATTCCAATAAATTGAACCGATTTTAAATGTGAATTAAGTTTAAGCGTTTAATGTTTTTTTTTTTCTTTTTTTTTCAAATTTGACGGATATTTGAGTGATATTATTTTTCACACATAATTGCTATGACTTAAATAACATGATCCAATAGAGAAATAAATAAATGTTCACCAATAACATTGATTTATTTACTGCTGACTTTGATCCGTTTTAATGAAACACCCTTATATGTAATCCGACTTAATGACACAAACTTTAATAGAATTACCAATATATTTTATCTCTTTAGATTTCTTCCTTTGCGATCATCTGAAAAGTAAAGTCTATGCCTACAAGCCAGTAACAATTCAAAAGCTGAAGGATGAGATAATAAGGCATATTGGTGAGATCGAAGAGAAACTATGCGAAGACATCATCAAAAATTTTGACCATCGAGTAGAGGTGTGACGCCAAAGCCTTGACGGATATTTGGGTGATATTATTTTTCACACATAATTGCCATGACTTAAATAAGATGATCCAATAGAGAAATAAATAAATGTTCACTAATAACATTGATTTATTTACTGCTGACTTTGATCCGTTTTAATGAAACACCCTTTAGTAGAAAATGAAAGGTTTGAAATGAAGTGGATAGATAACAACAGAAATGTATGATATTTTCAGTGTTCAATTCTATATTACAATCAATATATAAACTGACCTCGATTTTTGAAGCCACCACAGTTTCTATACATTTATATTCCAGGCAGTGTAAATAAATGTAAAAGACAAAACTTTGTAGATAATAAGTATTTCAGTGACTGTTTTGTTTTTACGGTTTATCAGCCCTTTGCAGGTGATTTAAAGCCCGAAAATATTTTTAGATTGTAATATTTTTTAGATGATACTGCTTTAACGATACAAGTCTTATGAATTGACCCATAAAAGAGGAGTGAATAGATGCGCGTATGTGAATATACCGAACCTAACGAGGATAGAAACTCGGCTGTCCGATTAACAATATGGGACCATTATCCAGCACCAACCGCACATCCAGGTAGTGACAATGATTGACGCTGCATTACGACGGTGATCCCACGGTAACCGGTGTTTATATAAATTAAAAAAAAAAATTAAAACTTTTAAAAAATTTTGCATATATATATATTTAAATTTTTTTGATAATAGCTGAAAGAATAGCAAGAAATCGTTTTCGGATATGCAAAAATTATGGACAGTTTTTACATTTGTGATCCAAAAAAAAAAAATTTTTTATGAAAACAAGAAAATTTTTTAAAAATAAACAATTTAAAAAATAACTTGTCTTTTGTCTTTAGAAAAAACATTATATATATATATATATATATATATATATATATATATATATATATATATATATATATATATAAATATGTATATATAAATATATATATATATGTGTGTTTATGTGTATTTTATATATATATATGTGTGTGTGTGTGTGAAGAACATGAACACATTTTTAAAATAGATTTAAATTATTGTAAATTTCCTATTTATATCGTTATTTTTCTAAAAAGGTTTCCCAACATTAGTGTGTATATATATATATATATATATATATATATATATATATATATATATATATATATATGTGTATATATGTATATATGTGTGTGAAAATATATAGAAAATAGGAAGGAACTGGTTAGGTAAATAATCCAAAGTTCCTTAGTATTTTAGTTATTATTTAAAAAAAAAATAGTGCTCGATACAAAAGTAGAGCATAAATATAATTATTTATTTAAAAATATGATTCCAAATCGCTACATAAGAGGTCTCATGTTTCAAAACAAGAGCCGAAAACTTCAATATAATCCTTTAAATTAAATTGAGTTGAAAGTAAAATGGGCTCCGTTCCATCTTCAAGCGAAATTTTTGTTGGAATAACGTATATCTGAAATTTACTTGTTTTAAAATTGAAATCAAAATCCATATGGTAACAGCTAGGGGTGAATTGTCTAAATTGGGTAGGCGAGTGTAGGGTGTTTATAATAAGTAGCGGTATAGAGATACTTTCAAGGTGTCAAGTCGGGGGAAAGGTGGGGTGTCAAAATGAAACGGAAGATGTATTGGCCATCGTCTAGTTTGTTTGTCTATGGATTTATTTATTTTATTTTATTTTATTTTATTATGAAAGGGAATTGTGCATATAAAAAAAAAAAAATTTTCGTAACGTTTGTTTTTTGACGACTTCATAAAGGGGTTATCTTATATGTAAGGTATTTAAACTACTAATTTAGGCTATGGATTATGAAGTGTGTTTATGTTGTATGCATGTTTGTAGTTAATTATTCCTACTATGAATCTGATGATTGGGCTATT